AGACAAATAGACAGACAGACAATTCTAAAAATTATAAAATGTTCTTATTTAATTATTTTCAGTTCCCCATAATGATTTTAGCCACCAAAATATATATACAATGTACAGAAAGAGACACAACATGTTATCATCATTTTTATTATATGTATATATTTAAAGAGAGATGGCGCTGCTAACATCAATTCTAAAAATAAAAGAAATTAATTGACGCGATTGATACATTATATAAAACGCAAGAGAACTTATAAATCAGTGCCTGCACAGTAAGCAAAAAATAAAGTTTGACTCTCGCCAAAACCAACGCAATTGTTAATAGCTCTTTTAAAATTTGATTTACCACATAGAGTACTCGGCGGTAAAGAATAAATTGAGTTTGTCAACACGCAGTAGGGTAGCGAGTAATATAATAAACATTAGCAGCATATATATTAGCAGTAATAAAAACTTTTTAACAAAAAAATTAAACCGCCGAAAAACTGAAAAGCAAAAAATAATAAACCTTTTTTATTTAACCTTAATAACTAAGTTCTTAAACTAATTTAAGTGTACCTAAGTATATATTTTTGTAATTATTTTCAGTTTTTAATTAACCCTAATAACTAACTTCTAAAACTAATGTAAGTATACCTAAGTAATTTTGAGTCGGCGCCAAACAAGCAAATTAATTAATTACGTAAAGCCTTCGATCAACAATACCAACTAGATATCGGGTTGGAGCAAAAAATACGTCCAAGTAAATAACAGCGCACTGGAGACGTGAGCTCTTATTTCGTTTAGTTGATTTGAAACACAGCCAATGTAAATACGTTTCACAATGCCGCAATGTATTTTTAAAAGTTGCAAGAATAATGCCCGAAAACGCATAAATTGCTTTTTCGTGCATTATTCTTGCAACTTTTGCGTACGTGCAAATGTGCGAGGCCATCAGCAAAATTCGCCGCGTACGGCGCGTATGTCGCGGACAAATGTGCGTTCAGCTTTAATGTTTATCGCATGAAGATTTCACGTTGCATTGTTAATTTGATTTTGATTTAGTTATTTCTTTAAATTTAGGGTAATTTAGTGTTCTTTGTTCATTTATTGTTTGGCGCCGACTCAAAATTACTTAGGTATACTTATATTAGTTTTAGAAGTTAGTTATTAGGGTTAATTAAAAACTGAAAATAATTACAAAAGTATATACTTAGGTATACTTAAATTAGTTTAAGAACTTAGTTATTAAGGTTAATTAAAAAAGGTTTATTATTTTTTGCTTTTCAGTTTTTCGGCGGTTTAATTTTTTTGTTAAAAAGTTTTTATTTTATAATTTTTCGTGGCTATAATCTACTAATTACTACATGCTTAGTTTTTGACTACTTTCAAATTAGCTACCTACCTTAATTTAGCCTTTAACTGTTATATAATCCTACTTTAACTATTATTTGTTGTATAATAATATAAATTCTTTAAAAAAAACAGGCTTTATATACCACCATAGGTAGGCCTACAAAAAATGCTGCTCGAATGAGAAAAAGATATTTAGAAGAATCTAATAATGAGAAAAACAAAAGTTTGGAAGCAAATAGAAAGAGAATTAAATTAACACGTTCACAGGAGTGTTTAAATCAGCGCGAGGAAAGACTGTCGAAGATGAGAAGCTAAAATAACGATAGGTTATCGCAAGAATGTGAAGAACAACGCGCTCATCGTTTAGGTCTGATAAGAGAGCGACTTTCAAATGAAACTGAAGACGAACATTTGCTACGTTTTGATGCTGGTCGTAACTGTTCTGCAATGGTGATACTTCACGAAACTCCCGAGGAGAGAACGCGATAAGCGGCTTGCGAGCGAAGAAACCAGTGTAATGCAGAAAATTTTAAGAAAGCGATTAATGTTTATGCTGACTTGCCGTGTTCAATATTCGAAAAAAGTTTGTATCCTCAGCAACGTTCGATATTGCAAACTACAAATTTAGGCTCTATTTTCCCTAATGAATTGGTAGCTTTAGGTAATAATATTACTTGTTCACGATGCTCAAATAATATTAAAAAATCAATACTCCACCGTAGGCCTATTGGAATAAAATGTCGGTAGCTGTAATGCCTACAGAAATCGATGATTTATCGGAAATTGAGAAACGTTTTATTTGCGGAGTAGGTAGTGCCATTTCTTAAAATAAAAACCTAGCAAGCTAACAAAATAGCAAAGTGGCGAAGCAATCACCTTTGTAGCGGTTTCTAACGGTTGCCGTTGAGCAATCAGTTTCAAAATAGGAGGTTCAGATGCCTGGGTGATCAGTAATCGATTGCTGAAAACAGAATTTGAAAATTCGAAACCGTTCTCGAGATAATCGTGGGACAGACGGACAGACGGACAGACATCGTGAAATCAATAAGTGACTTCGCAAGCTTCGCCACTTAATAAAAGTTCAAAATCGTTTGAGCCAAGACTGGTGCAAAGGGCAGGCAATTATTTTTGTTTAGGATGTGGTCGAGCTGGCGGAGCAACTTCCGCTTGAACCTAATCAAACTGGATTAGTGATTGTAGTAGAAAGTAGTGAAAATTTAGAACGTTCTAGGGAGTTCCAAATAGATGTATGTAAACTTCAATTAGCATTGCAGTGGCTCCTAATGAATAATGCACTCTATAAAGATGTTCGCACCTGCACATGGTCATAATAGTGAAGAATCAATTGCTGAACGGTCAACTGTACCTACAAATAACTATACTGCCTTGAGTAACAACGTATCTATATTATATGGTTCTTTTTATCAGGACAATGAACAATTTAGTCCAGAGTCACGTGGTCGGCAATGCACAGGGATTGCAACTGTTGCTAGTGTGGCATTTTCTCTGATAAATCCCAATAATTGGTGCAAAAGCGACATAGATTACATGTTATTGGTAGGAGATAAATATTATAGAGACTGTTTTGCGGCTCGGGCTAACCCCAATTCCGAAGAAGCACATATCGAATATTTGGCTGCAACTGAGCTTTTACCTAATATCACATACAACAATCGAAAAGTTGATATCAATGTTCGTCATGAATCAGCCTTTAATGGTCACGTAGACAACGACAATTGTGAAGAAGGATTTCCCAATTTGTTAAATGCTCTAATAAATGTATTTGCTACATATGGGAAGAAACCTCCAGATAATGTTGTTCCAAAAGATGTGAACAATTGTAGTGGACTTTTATCTGAAGTAAAATTAGCTGTCGAATCTCGTGTGATGTTGAGACGTAACAATCAGTATCTGACGGGCTCGTCAATGGTGCCATGTGTATTGTAAAAATAATAAAATGGCCATCACTACGCAGGGGTCAACTAGAGGAAGGAGAATTACCGGATTGCGTATTAGTAAAATTTGACTATGAAAGCATAGGAAGCAGACTAAAAGATAGCGATGGCTGTGTCGCCATACCTTCAGTGGTAGCCACATTTTAAGGTACGAAGGGTAATGGCGATATTGAGCACAGGATGTTGCCGGTAATTTTATGCTGGACCGTCACGGTTCACAAATTACAAGGTGCCCTTGATAAAGCTGTAATCGACCTCGGAAATAAAGTGTTTGCCAAAGGACAGGCATATGTGGCATTGAGTAGATTAAAAACACTTGAGGGTATTGCTATATCTGATTTAGAGCCAAATAAGGTATTACACAAACCTCACGATGAACGAGCTTTAGCAGAAATACAGAGAATGAGAGGTCTACACATAAGAGACTGACAGCTCTAAAGCTCATTCATCGTGAGGTTGTTTTGTAATGTAATGTAATGTAGTGTAATTATTATGTAATGTAGTAATACACCACTCAGAATTAAAATCTGTGAGTAAAAAATAAATCTAAACCCTATTTTCCAACCCTTGGGGTAGACATTTTTTTTCCAAATTTATATGGGACCAATTTCGAGGTATGCCCTATCCAATAAAAAAAGAATTATGAAAATCGGACTACTCTGTAAAAAGTTATGCGTGGTCATACATAAAAAAAATATACACGTCGACTTGAGAACCTCCGTCTTTTCGTCGGTTAAAAACCACATTGCAATCGCATTACATTTTCACAACACCACCATCTATCGAAGAAATAGGTTAACTATTGTGCTTCAGGTTTAGTTAATAAGGTTAATATATTTTTGTATAATATATTTAATACGTTCTTTAATACTTTTGTTTACTGCGTTTTAAATATACGTAATTATATCATTATTTTACATAATTTAACTATGATTTATAATATGATATTAGTTTAAAATGCACTTGATGACTCAAACAAAGCCACCGTTGAGCAAATTCGTACCTATACTTCCCTACCCATACTTCAGAATATTTATCGTAACTTTTGATGGAATGAACTGATTTTAATGAAATAAAGACTAAATGTAACACGAAGATACACTTTATAATTTCCTTAACAATTCTTATGATATAAATTAGTACTTTATACGTGATACGTTAACAAACAAACAGACAGACAGACAGACAGACAGAAAATTCTAAAAATGGTAGAAATGTATTTAATTACTTATTTTTAGTACCCCTCAATCACTTTTATTACAAAAATATAAAATGTACAGACATCTGCTATTTACAGTTTTATTATATGTATAGATTTAAGTATATTTTATGGGACAAAGGGTCGTTGGAAAGGGCAGAACAACGTCTGCTTGGCCAGATAATATATAATATAATTTGCACAAGGCCTTCTAGCCGATGCACATTCAATGAAAAGGTTGCATTAAAAAATATTTATCACATTTACCAATAAAACATATTATTGAACATAATTCGAACGAAAACATTTTTCATATGTCTCGTTTCACCCCAAAGCTGATTTTCAAATTATCTAAAAGTATATAAATATTATTATACCGTTATATTCTTTGAAAACATTACATTAATTAGTTTGTGCTACGTGTTTTCACAAAAATTTAAAGGAAGATGGTCCCAAACATGCTTTGATTAGAATGTTTCCGGAACAAGACAAGATTTTTTAAAAACCATTAAAATACTTACTCTTTGACAGGTATCATGCCGACGTCTGAAACAAAATATTATCATTTAAATTACGTCTATTTCCATAAATTAAAACATTTACACCACAACATCAGCACGAATAGTTGAATTAAAAAGAACTTTATCTCAAATTGTGTAGCTCTGGATATAGAGTAGTACCTACGATTTTTTTATGAAACTGAAATGACAATCGAACTACAAACATACAGTTCACCTGACTGTTAATGGTTACTACCACAGTTTAAAGTATACTGTGTTTAAACTGTGCTACTGCAGCCAAGGACGCTTTGTCATCTCTGAGTACTAAGATGGAATGCCTCACAACCTGCATTTATGCTGGCCCCGTATGCCATTCAAAACGAAACACACACACTGCAATGTAAACACTGCTTCTCATCGGCGGAAATAGGCAAGAGGGTGGTACTTACACAGACGAACTCTTAGACAGTAAAATTGTCCTACCTGTAAGTAGACATGTGTCAATCGTGAATGATTCGTTTATTAGACCCGGGTCGCATCGAAGTATTGGTGATTGAAATAAAATTTTTTGAACCTTCCGGATCATACGATTGACAGGAGCTACGACCAAAGAGTATAGTAATGTCTGACGGCCGTAATAACTGAGACCGAGTAAGTCTCAAAGATCAAAGAGTACTGGATCTCGAAATGATCCATTTAAATGATCGCCCCAATGACTCTGTTCGTAAGACGAATACTTGTATGATCGGGTCACTAGAAATGAATGAATGACACATGTCTACTAGTAAGTTCTTAAGATTATCCGAAAAGTGCACATAAAAACTGAATAACATGTATATTTTACTAAAATTTAATTTAAAGTTTAAATAAGCAAAAGTCCTTTAGTAATAACAATCCATTACACAAAAAATAATTAAATAATAGATTATTTCAAACGATGGCCGTGCAGCAATAAAATTAGTCAAAACATATAAAACGATCGTGTGAATTCCGTTATTGCAGGATAAACGACGTGTAAAATCGGATAACGATGCACATAAAAATTCCGATTTATTTGTACCTCGATATCGGTTTTGTTTGGTTGTTAACAATATTCACATATTTTAACTAAAAACCGGCCAAGCTCAAGTGCGTACGTATTTACAATGTACGTAAATTTTGTACATTGATTTTTCAATTTATTTAAGTACACACAAAAAGAGAGTACAACAATTTTGCGAGTTCGTATAAAGATAACTACTTCATCATCATCATCAATACAGACTTTAAGAAGTCATCTGCTGTATCTCCCTCCTTTAGGCCTCCTCCTAGGAATGTCACAAAGCACAGTCCTGAGCCAACTGCATCTACTTCCTACATTTCTTACCACGTCATCACTCCATCTAGTGGAGGCCGCCCTATACTTCGCTCACCGGAAGTTGCCACTCGAGAACCTTTCATCGTCGTATCTTCGAGCTATATGGCCATCCCATTTTTACTTCAGCTTACTTATCCGTTGGGTTATGTCGGTTACACTGTTTCTACTGTAGATATCTTCATTTCTATCACACAGAAGAACCCTGGCCATAGACCTCTCCATAGCTGGCTATGTTATTTCACAAGACCTTAAAGTTGGCTAAACTGAGCCAACGGCAGATACAAATAATAAATCTTCTATTAGTCAGTTTGATTTCGAGTTATTTTTCCTATATAATTGAAATACATACGTATAAATATATATATGCAATTTTATGCAATGCTTCAAATGTTTTAACTTTTTAAAATAAAAAAAGAAAACAAAGTAAACAGACGTCAAATGACTTCGGCATATCACTTCGTAGAAGGTTCAGGGATATCTCTACATTATAAATTCAACCTTGGTACTAATGCGCCAACATCGTTATACCTATATCTCCTGATTAGTGACTGTGAATCCTTAAGACTAGGTCTTGACTGCCATTTTAGTCGATGATATTCGCCTTTTTTATTATAATAGAATGAGGGTGCAAAATCAGCACACAGTCCACCTGATGGTAAGTGGATGATGTAGCTCATATACATCTACGTCTATTCTCGATTAAGAATCAAAATGCAGATGCGTTGTCACCCCTGAGGACTAAGGTAGAATGCCTCGTTTCTAGTGAAAAGGGTCTCCGGTTCTCTACATTTACCATACGAGCAGCATGAAGTTGCTATTTAACGCTGATATTCTGTGGGAGAGTAGTCTTTCCCCGGTCGAGCTGACCCATTGGTGCTACAACTATAATATAACTACAGCATGGCTCTACCACGAAGAAAATAATATAAAATATTTAAGATACTTCTACATGGCATCTTTAGTTTTCTACTCACGTCGCAATTTAATCTTCAGTCTGGACTGCGAAGTGAGGTAGTGTACTAACTCAGCGTGCACGGCGTCGTCCACCCGATATCCATTCACACTCACTATTTGATCCCCGACCTAGAATGAAAGTAATTCAAAATTACCCAACAGCCTTTAGAATAACAAGGTTAAATTAAAAATTTTGTGCAACCGACCTCAATATAAATAAAATGAGAACATCATCAATATATAGTCGAAGTCAATTAGATACGCATTATTAAGGATAACTCAAACAGTACTGGTCAGATCTTGATTAAATTTATATGGGATCACATGAAAAACCTAGCAAAAAGTTCTGAGGTAGCACACATTAAAAAAAAAAACAGTCGAATTGCGAATCTCCTCCTTTTTTGAAGTCAGTTGAAAAAGTTATCCTAATCGCAAAAACGGAAAGAAAAAACTACATTGTAATTAGGCCAAGTACACTAAATTACTTTTTATTTTGCTATTAGTTTTCTTGCTGTCAGTATTGTACAATAAATTATAAAATTCTTTATAACAATTATTGGTTACTTTACAACTTTTATAGTTATTTTAATTTAATCTTCATTTTGAGACTCAACGTTTTGATTTTTTGAGACTATTCCGAATGCTCTTAAGATAGAATAATTTCACCCATATTGGGTGTAAATTACTCCCTGTCTCTGTGCTAAGATTCTAATGATTTCTTCAAATAGTTGAGAGATATCGTAGAAACTTCATAGAGTTGTTAGAATAGTTTTAGCCTCAAATAAATTAAATTAATGTTGCAGTGTGCAAAACATTTTATAAATATAATATTTTGAGTGTAAATTCTTAATTAAAAATACTTTTAATATACTACGATCACTGACTTTTAAATTACTTGAACGAATACGACTCTACAATATCTTTCTTCTTTCTGAAACTGTATAACTTATATTTAAAAATTTTGTACAACCGACTTCAATTTAAATTATTAAGAATAACACAAAACGTATTGGTCAGACCTTGATCAAATTTATATGGGATTGCATGAGAAGCACCAGCTTTCAAATAAGAAAAAGAATCATCCAAATCGGTTCACTCAGAAAAAAGTTAGAGGTACCACACATAAAAAAACATACAGTCGAATTGTAGATAGTAGATAGTTATTGACTTATCCTTAATAATTAATATTGAAGTCGGTTGGACAAAATTGTACAAAATTTTTAATTTTATAATAGTAATTACAAGTAGTATTAATCAATTCATTCCAATGTCACATTATTTGTCTTCCATTTTTATCTTACATCTAATAAATGAATGTTTGTTTGTTTGTTCGTATTTTGTGCGCTAAAATCGTGTACATCACTGAAGCACCCGGGCTCATTTCACATGCACTAATAAACTTTTTCAGAAGTTATGTAGCCCTAACCCCAAACCTCGTGTAAGGACAAAGTTGATATGAGTCTTAATTGAGACACTCGCTTCGACCAAGTTATTTTGTTGTTGATGAAAATGTAAATTAACTTGCTTAAAATTTCCGACTACGCTTGGAATAAAAAGTACATTGCGACAAGAAAGTGCTGTATACCTGTTATTATAATCTACCTTCATAGTATAGGATTTTTTATTTAAAAATTCTCTAAAACTAGTGTCTGTATTCTCTTATATATTAGTTTGATTAGTATTATAATATAAATTTGAAATTTACGTTGCAGTTTGCGTCAGGTTAGCTAAGGACACGGGAGTGAATTAACTTGCGCGAAAGAAAACGAAACGCAAACTCTTCATGTTACATACATGCGATTGTTTTCACGCTATGATTCGATTAAATGAATGAACGTGTGACGTCAGAACTACACGAGCGGAGCTGGTGATGTCAGCCGTCGACGCAGCGGTTTGTGACGAGAAGAGCACTTTCTTTGCGCTCTCTGACAGCCGGTGAAGCCGGACAGTTCTTATGCCCCACATAGCTGGCAACTTTCGATCGGACTTTCGATCCACCTCCTTGTTTTTTTTTCTTTACAAACGACGCGGGAGACCGACAGACTACGAATTCTTGATTAATGAAGGGCGGACACACTCTGATACGTTTAATGCATTTCTATAGAAATGTAATTTATACATGTAAAACCTGTACAATAGCAGATTAGGTTTTTCTTTTTACTTTTTAGGACTTATCTAGGTAGTTTTTAGGACTTATTAGTTCATTCATTCTAGAAACGGAGATTTTTGATTTTTGTCGATTTTCTTTATTGATACACGTATGTCGTAATTACTTTCATCAAAATAATTAATCTAATGAAATTTATAAATTCTAGGCAACGCTAGGTTCTGAACCACCTGCAGTGGACTCGTGATTTGCTGTAGTATTAGTAGTAGTAGAAGTAGCAAGCTCTGATCATTGTTTTAATAAGAAAGTAAGTCAGATTGAAGGAAATGTAAGGTTGTAGTCGCAAGAAATATTTTTTATAATACACGGTGATATAAAACTACGTTTAAGTCACGCTCATGCGGTGGTTAACTAGCCGATTATTGTACGATATGTTTTACTTAAGTCACACATAAAATGTTATAATATTTTATAATATTTATTACATTTTATAACAATAGAACTTCAATTAGTAACATCTATTATAATAGATACTTTAAATTAAAAACAAAACATTGAATTATTTTATCAAGAAATATAAAAAAATACTTGACATAAAGTCAAGATTTTTGTACATTTTTAGTCTGAACTGTAATTTACAAATATTCAATCATATACGTTTATGCCAACATCTGGATCATACAAAACTTCTGTAAATCGAGTGTCGTTGCACCTTTGGTACCGTTTAGTGAAATCTTTAGATTGATGTTGTAATTCTTGTACTGAAACTTTTTGATTCTAGATCTAGAATTTTCAGAAAGAATCATCATCATTTTTGTTTGATTTTAATTTCAAATAATGTTTTTCTTGAATTTGAGCAAATGAACATTTTTATCATTATAATCATATAGTATTCTACAATTTTTCAATTAAAAATGTGGTTTTAAGTCACTTGTACTATAAAATAATGAACGATACACGGAACTTTTAACAGTGGTAGAGCCAGGCGGCAGCTTTTGCTGTCGCACGGATGGGCCGGCTCGAACCGGGGTGGTACCACGATCTCACAGAATACCAGCGTGAAGTAGAGGCTTACCTCTGCGTTTCGCTTGGTGAGTGCAGGTGGCCGGAGGCCCTTTTTACTGGAAATGAGGCATTCCATCTTAGTCCTCACGGGTGACAACGCATCTACATTTTGATTCGAAAACGAGGATAAATGTAGATGTCTATGGGCCACAGCAACCACTTACCGTCAGGTGGACTGTGTGCTCGTTTGTCACCCTATCCAATAAAAAAAAAACTTAAGTAACCGATTACTAAAACGTGTAAAATTTAGTGCGGCTAACTTCACACGGTTCATTAATCGGCTACTTAAGTCTCTTGTATCGTAATGTACTATTATATGATACCACCATGGATATAGTATACATAAGTATATACTTACGTAAATCTATGGATATCAATTATCATATTATATAAGTAGAAATAGATTTTTTAGAGACGGTCTTTGGATTTTCCCTTTACTTGTTCAGTTAGACCTTGCTTCTAGCTAGATTTTATTTGATTTATTCTAGCCGTATCTTTTGATTGCTTTGACTTAGAAAAATATTATACACCTCCAAGGGACAGTGAACCTTAATATTGGATATTAATTTCAACTTGCTATCTCTACCCTTTCCTGCAAAATGGGGTTTGACAGATGAACAGACGGGCAGATGGACGGACGGAAGAGTGATCCTCTAAAGGGTTAAGTTTCTTTTTTTGAGTAAAGGAACCCTAAAAAGTATCGTTCATACAACTTTTTTTTCCACTAACTGAAAGTGTTACTTATAAAACAATTTTTTTTTATTTAATACTGATTCGCTGCCAACAAAAAAGCCATGTGTATTCAAGTAAAAAGTAGTCTTTTAAGCGTTTAATATATAAGCAATAAACTGTGATTTCTTTATTTATAAACTACACTTTGTGTTAATGGAATCCAAAGATAGAAATGAATGGGGAATATAGTGCATAAGTGATATAGGTACATACGTACAATGTGGGTAGGGATCACGGAAGGAGTCTTGAGTCACGTATTGATCTCTTTTTACGTCTGAGATATTGTTCTAAATATTATATTAGGCTGGTTCATCATCAACACGATAATAAGAAGACGGTAAATATAAGATATAAGAAGAGAAGTGAAAGAAGATATGATCATATAGATATTTCCTATATATTTCCTAATACAGTCTTTCTTTATATGCTACAGAAAATATTACATCGCATGCAGATAATGTAACATAATGACGAATATGTTATCATTTCCTCCAAATAAATGATGACATATTCCCTCTAAAACTCGCTATAATTTTGCTACATAGGAATTTTGTTTAAAAACATTAAACATGTTTGACACCGTCGAAAGTTTCCGAGTAGGTATTCGATATAATTATATGATACTCGTTCACTAACTCATATCACAACTCATACTTCGGAACCTCACCCCCGCAGTCGTTTCGGCGATGCTAAGCAGGGATTCGCGTGGAGAGCCGTAGCCGCCTACGAATACTTAATGGTCCAGAAGGAGTCTACTGAGCGAGGTCAGGCGAGGACACATACGGCTCGGTGACGACGTAGCTAAGACGCTGGTCATGGGTCTCCCCTTGATGATGGTGTTCCCCTACATGGAACATGCCTCTGCGGTTGCTGACGCTCGGGGTGCGGGCCCCGAACGTCTAGTAATGTAACTCCCCAACAGGATGAAGATTCGGATGTGACATCGTAATAGCACTGCGAAAGTGCTGATGGGAATAAGTGCTACCCCCGGGACATGCGATAGCGTTTCGCACGGAGATCCCGATATTCCTCATATACGCTGATGGTGACTACCGTGGGTTTTTGGCCGGTAGGTTTCCCGCATAACTTTTCCTTAGCCCCTGTAGCGAAAGATATCCATGAGGATTCCCACACGATAAAAAAGGTTCAGAGTTCACTTAGAACAATTACAGCGTCGAATCTAAATTTAGATTTGTGTTAAAAACAAATCTTGTCATCAACTGGA